CAAAGAATGATCTTTTCCAATTTTTACGACTAGTGAGTGCAAATTTTTTCTTTAATTATGTGTAGGTGACATTAGGATTATCATCTTTGTATCAGCATAATACTACCTCTGGTTCTAAATGAATGGGTTAATTTTTAGACCCCACATGACATTGAATAGTGCAGAATTAGCTAGGGGAATGTAAGGTGGAATGCCCGGAGAATATTCGAATAAAAAGTTTCAACGTCATCTCTAAATTTCTCATGTTCCAAGCTCACAAGAACTTTGGACGTTCCAGTTTCCTTGCTAGAGGTTACAAAAATTTATTGACGTTCGTCTCTAATGAAATGTAATTAACATATTGCTTTTGGTCTCTACAAAATGCAAATACCTAGTTTTTTACTAAGATTATTATAAATAGATTTATTTTACAAAGAGTATATTGCTATATGATTTACTGTTTTATAAAAGTTAATATAACATAAAAATAAATTTTAAAGAATATAGTAAAATATTATTACAAAAGATGATTGTTATAAAGAGATATGATTGTACTTGTTGAAAAAAATGTACAGGCCATTCAGATAGAGATAGTAAGGAGAAGGAAAATGCTCAAAGAATTTCATGAATTAGCGATTGAAATGTACTTGCCCAAGTGCTTTTTAGGCCAGCTCAATTCTCTTATCCATCGATCGAATGCACTAGGCTCATCTCATGCAAGGAAAAGCTCGGGAATCGAATACCCTCTACTGTTGGCGGGCAACAAAAGAAGTTGTCAAAGGCGATGCGATGATACTCACCTCAGCCTCTCTCGCAAAATTAGTCACCACATTCATTCAGTGACAGCCTTAGGATAAGGAAGTCTTTTATTTTCATTTAAGAAATAGGCTACCACTCTCTCTCTTACTTTCTTTCATTTAGTTAGGCATGGTAAAAAAATCTTGCTCGAAAAAGACTCTCACCTACTCAATTGGAATGACTCTTATCTTTACTTATATTTTTACTCAGATAAGTCCCTCTCGGAGCTATTCTCCGGCATTGTGCCTTCTTACTCCTTACTTAGATAATAAAGCCGTAAGCCGAACAGAATATGGACTTGATGACTCTTACTCTTTATCTTATGTTATAGAATTTTTTCTTAGCTCCTGTGCGCATTCATCAACTAGTTGTAATATTGGACAACACTTACTCCATGAACGACTACGAAAAGGGGGAGGCTACTAGCTTTTAGAAAGATTTTTGATGGTCCATACATGTGAACTCATCATTCATCTCATCAAAGACATGACAGATTTGATGAACACCCAGGCGCACATGCATGAGACAGATCAGAGGGCGCGTTCAAAAAGCTTTCAAGCTTTGTCTTTGTAACGATATCCTGCACTCTCAAGCGAGCGAGAAGAGTTCATAAACATTAATTTCTTTGACGGGTGATCGGGTCTTAGAATCCTTAGGAAAATGTAAGCACTTGTATGCAAGCAAGACTTCTCTGTGGGAATACCCGGCTATCTCCTTCTTTAAATAGAGAAAATCCCTGTAATTCTCTGATGCTGGGATTATGTCTAAAAAACTTTGTATTGCGGTCTCCGCTGACGATCGTTCTTTTCTTTCATAAGATCTATTCTTGGGATAGAGCGTTAATAGCTTTTCTCTTTTATATGGGACAGGGTTTTAGAGAACTCCTGGAATGGGATTCTCATGCTAAATAAAATAATATACTGGTGATATTAATTATAGAATCTTATGAATCAAGCGCGACACACTTTTTATATCTCTTTTGTCTATAAGGTAAATAGCTTAGCTTAGAGCACAGCATGTTCACCACCACACTGGCTAGCTTGTGCATTGGCTCTATTACCAGCAGGTTTTTGCGCGAATGTAAGTTGTTTGATAGCTTTACTCAATCCACACTAGCTTACCTTACATATACGTACTCCATGGTTTATTAGAGAAATTTTATTCAGGAACCTCTTATAACCATATTTTTCCCTCCCTGATGATGAAATGGATAGTTTAGCTAATTGATGTGTCACCTTCTTACCAGAAGCGAAGAGGTACTTGAGAGAATGGATGGCAGGGGCCCCTAATCGAACGCAAGGAAGAAGAGTGGGTTCCCTAAGTAGTTGGATGCGTCTTCTTTGAACTCAAAAATAATTTCACTTGAATTATTCCTGCGAGTGAGTTGGAGGCCCTTAACCCTTTCTTATTATTAGTAAGATAGGTTGTCTTGGTTCCGTTCAAATCTGGATTTTTATGAATATGAAACCCCATTCACTATATTTTAGTGCGCTGAATAATTGTCTTTTTTCGATACGGATTTAAGTACGAAAGGTGCACCTCAAAGAGCGAATAATATTTTTTCGTCACGCGACTTAATCTCGATCGCTCCCTTAAGAATAGGAGGCAATAATAGAGAGAATCCTTCTGTCTCTTGCCGCTTAAAACTCTGCCAAGAAAGTGTTATGTTTGATCATATGTATCCATAGAATGCTATGCATTCTCCACTTTTGGATCTCATATGGCCGGCTTTCTCAATATTCAATCTAACTTCAGAAAATGGGACTCACCAAGGATGGCGAATGGGCAAACGTAAAGGTTGTTCCGCTCGATTGAAAGTCCATATCTTTCAATTTCCTTTATTTCCGGCTAGACAAGAATGTATGTGTCAAACTTTGATGTCTCACTCATTTAAATATGACGAGATAATCATCTAAGTTCGAGAATCTCAGACAATTAGGGAAGTGGAGTAATTGTGAAGACTAACAGGAAGAAAACCTAAGAAGTATCAAATTCACGGAATGGATATCTTCAAGACAGGTGGGTCAAAATCCTACGAGTAGTTAATACATAGATAACCCCTTAAACTTGACACAAGTTTTCATTTAGACACCTTAACAAGAGGTGTGATCTATCAGACACTTGAAATATGCCTAAATGTATCGATTAAACGTAGTTTGCTGACATGGCAAAAATGTGTTTCTCGCCTCTTTATAGGAGCGCGAACATGTACCAAATCATAATTTTTTATCCTCCAAACAAACATATTTTTCAAATCCTCCTTTATAACTACGACCAGTCACAAACTATAAGCCTTCATTGCTGCTATTACCTCCATCAAGAAAACGAACATCGTTAATTCCCACGACCATATCCTAAATCTCCTTTTCTTTCTCACTCAATTTATTAAAGTGCTCTTATTTTCAACGAAATTTCACTCTGTTTCAGAAATTAAAATTATTGGATCAACAGCTCATAAAGTAGTAAAAATTGCACGGGCGTCCTATTTGATCGCCCCCATTTAACTTATACTCATTTTTTTAAAAGTTTTAACTTGTACACACTTTTTAAACAACTTCAGCCCTCTTTCTCCTCCTCCTTCGTTTTCTTCTTCTTCTTCTTTCTTCTGTTGTTGTTGGTGCTGCTATGAAACTTCAGTTCAGGGGTATGATGTTGTCATAAGTATGTTTATCAGATTATTTAAAAACAAATTATAAATAACTTTATAAAGTAAGTACGTACATGTATGTAAATATAAGTCCATTTCCTTTAATTCACAGTCTATTATTTTTTTTGGATTCAGTTTTGTACATTATCAATGCATTTTAACCTGTTGTGCTAAATCATTATCTAGTTTTTTAAGTTACTAATTCTACTTATGATAAACTTATTAGCTGTACAAAAAATCAATTACATGATAGCATAAAACATGTTGAAGTTTAGCAAATATAGAACAAAACTTCAGCTAAAACATGATGAAGTTCAGCAAATAGAGAACAAAACTCCAGCTACTAGAATGCTTAAGTTCAGCAATTACAAACAAAAACTTCAGCAAATAGAGAACAAAACTTCAGCTACTATGCTTAAGTTCAGCAATTACAAACAAAAACTTCAGCAAATAGAGAACAAAACTTCAGCTACTATGCTTAAGTTCAGCAATTACAAACAAAAACTTCAGCACACTTGGTTCAGCAATTTTTGCTACTTCAGGCTCATCTACTAGAATGCTGAAGTTTTGCGTGATTGTCTTTACTACTTCAGGCCCGTATGCTGAAGTTACGCGAAAAAGTGGGTACGTTTGCATTTTTTTTGCAAAGCGGGCACAAGTTAAAATGTGACCCAAAAAGCGGGTATAGATACAAATGCTCCCATAAAGTAACATTTGGCAAGGTTGAGCAATGACCCATTTATTAGTTCAGCATATTTTAACCCGTCCAATTGCAGCCCAACCCGTCATTTGTCACCCCTAGTTGTGGAGTTGGGTGAGGGGAAACGAGGAAGCGGGTGTTGAAGGACAATTGAAGACAAGCAGGGTAGTATGAAGTTGTATGTGTTGATGTATTATTTTTCTTGAAGATGAAGGAGAAGCAGCGCGGGAATTCTTGCCGGTGAAAACTGGAAGAAAGGCTCTGTTTGAAAAATGAGAAACAACAGACAATTTTGGAAAAGTCACGCGTTGGCCTTTCGTTCGTTGTTTTGGCCGCACATTAGTGTGTAAACTGCACGCACTCTAGTTTTGTGAATGTGTTACTGAGGTGTTCAATAGATGCATTTTAGGCATACTTCGAGTGTCTATTGTATTTGCCCTTCAGAAATAAATAGTGATTTCGAGATTTTCGATGTAGGCAACTTATTAAACTGCTGCTGAATCCAGAGACAACTTGACAACAATCGACCATCCACTTTCTAGGTTTACATTTTGACTAGAGTAGCCACAACCAATGAACCAATCGCTTCTTGCAATATATCAAAAAAACATGCAGATTTAAGGCGGTGTTACCAAAATTTCTGAGCTGCCCTAACGCGTAGTGCAGCCTACAATCCGAAAAATGGCATTCGCAATCCTCCATGTATTATGATTCCAACAAAATAAACAGCAAAGACGAGAACTATTTGAAGTGCATGGAAAAAATAGCAGGAAGATTGCAGATATATCCAAATATGAAAAAGATCAGCAAGTACCCGAGTAAAGATGCTCTGCAGCTGCAAATTTAAATCACAAAAGTTGTCGAGGCTAGCCAACATCACCAAATGACTTGTCCAAAATATTCATTCACTAAGATCATAAATAGCTCGCATCCAAAAATTCCCGTGGAAGGAATCGAAGCTACTCACATGATCATCCAGTGAAACCAATTATAATAGACGTGCATAACAAATTATTCAACCATAAATCAGAAGCACACACCGGAACACTCAAGTAATAAATATCCAACATGCTGTCCAGACCCTAATACAGAGGGCAGTCTATCCATATGACTAAACCACAGTCGTAGAATGGTGAAAAACCAAACTATGTCCAAAGTACTTGATACCTAGCAACTAAACATGGTTCTACTCCCTATCCTGAATCAGGAGACCCATCTCCATAGGAAACCAGACCTGCCTTCCCAGGGGGACTCGCCGAGGATGATCTTGACTTATCTTTGCTGCCTTGCTTTGGTAACTGAGAGTCCCGAGATGACCTCGACTCTGATCGGCTTCTGCTCCGAGAAGGTGATTTATGCCGATCAGCAGATGGCGACCTGCGATATCTGTCCACAGGAGAACGACTATTCACGGGACTTCGGCTATAACGACGAGCACGGTGACGCACAGGACTACGAGATAGGCTGCGGCTTCGGCTTCTTCTGCCTCTGTATCTGTATTTAGGGAGTTCTAAGTTAGCATCTCTGACAAAGACAAGTCTAACAATAATAGCAAATAGCAGATATCCCAGACCTGGGCGGCGTTCTTCCTCTAGGTGGACTCCTGTAACGTCTAGGTGACCTTCTGTATCTCGAATATCTTTCAAAAAAGCCAAACAGTTAGGTGGATACGTATATTAATGAGAAAGTTTCTATTTCAATTCCTGTAAACATTAGATAGGCTTGTGCTGCTCACCTGTCACCATAACGGTATGGCCTAACAGGGGACCGATCAGGAGATCGACTCCTGTATCTACGAACATAAGAGTAACGCTCACTAAAGCCCCTTCCCCTCCTGATGCGCTTGGGAGATCCATCCACTGAAGCGCTTCTTGAAGAGCTCCTTGCTGGAGATCTTGCCCTACGACTTGCACTTGCAGGACTTCTTGAATAGCTGCGTCTATTGTTTCTGCTAGGAACCCTACCTGGACTTCGGCTTGGGCTTCGCCTAGAAGGAACCCTACCCGAACTTCTGCTTGCACTCCGCCGAGAAGACCTAACAGGGCTTCTGCTTGGGCTCCTTCCTGAAGGCCTAACCCTAGTAGGAACCCTGCCCGAACTTCTGCTTATACTCCTCCGCGAAGACCTAACAGGACTTCTGCTTGGGCTCCTTCGAGAAGGCCTAACAGGGCTTCTGCTTGGACTCCTCCTATAAGATCTAACTGGGCTTCGACTTTTTGATTTCCATGATTTCCTCGATGAGGTTCTGGGTGGACTCGGGCTAAGTCGCCTTGTGGGAGACGCTGAGGGACTCCTGCTGCTCCTTCGTCGTGAATGAGCTCTCACTGGAGGACTCACACTGACACTTGCTCCCCTCTCGACTCTCACTGGGCTTCTACTAATGCTTCGTGCTGGACTACTGCTACCACTTTTAACCACGCTGATGCTCCTTCTCTGCGAGATGCGACGAGGACTTCCACTGCGACTTGGACTTCTGCTTACACTGCGTCTGGATCTAACACTTGGACTCCTGCTCACACTGCGCTTTGGGCTAACACTTCGACTTCTGCTTAGACTCCTCCGAGGACTAATGCTCATACTCCTACTCATTGTCCTTTTGGGACTTATGCTTCTGCTCCTGCTCAATGACTTCTAATAAAATTCTGGATCTGGAAGAATCCATAAGCATAAACAATAACTGAGGTGCAATGAGAAATGTAGAATGAACCTAGATTTGCAAGGGTGATCATCCACTACATCAGGCTGCCTATCAACATATTTATCAGATCTATCTTCCACTTTGGTATGATTGCTTTGACGCTCTCCATTTTCCTTGGGCAAGTCTGCCTCCTCTCCTTCAAAAATGTCAGTTGCCTCTTTCTTGTCATGAAGAGAAACTGCTTCTCCCTCCTCAAGTGAAGGAGAACAATTGCCTACTGCAAAATGTCCATAAACAAGTTACCCACAAGCAAGTTACATCATACAGATTTTTCAAAGCAAGAAGATTGCATTATGACCAGTTAGATTAAATGTCACTTGCATACTGTAAACGCAAAAATAAATCTGTAGAATTCAGTAGACAATCCATAATAGTACACATATGAGGGTAGACAGTTCAACAAAGTTAGCAGAATCTACTTATGTCTCATAACCCATACAGGATTTGTTCCCCATGGGGATTCACTCAAATTTTTAGAAATAAATCGGCCTATGCATTTAAACATATAGAGAAATGATGCATAAACAGCAAGTGGCCTTTGGGACACCAAATTACACTGATACCCATACTAATCATGATTCTACTTTACTCCGTAACAACGGCAACCACAAACCCTAGTTCGTTCTCCAATATCCCATCAGACGCTTAATTCTCCCCGATGAAAACGATCTTGAAATAGTAGAACAGGGAAAGGGAGTGACTAGGAGACTATATCCAATACTTTTAACTAGAAAGTGTGTACAACAAAAGCTTTTTGATGAAGATGAAGATGAAGAAGAAGTACCATCACAGAAAAGAACTCATAGAAAACCAGAAGCAATGTTATAAAACTCCAGAAATTTTAGAAAAATTAATAAAATAGAAGGGATCAAGAATTGACAGCAACAAGTGAAGAAAAGGAAGTACACAGAGAAAAAGAAAGGGAAATGGAGAGCCCAAGAAAATATCTAATTTTCATGAAAAATCACAATGTTCAGTAATAGAAATTGCTGGTGAAGTTTCTGGGATAATTGGTGTATATAAAAGAACACTAAACAACAATGTCAATCACTTAAACTATCAAGAGCCTATTTGGAAGGCCAACTTGTAATTAGATTTGGCTGTAATTGGGTATAATTACATTGTTTTGGCCTGTGGTCTGGCCAACTATTACTCCCTCTGTTCCAATTTATGTGAACCTGTTTGACTAGGCACGGAGTTTAAGAAAAATGAAGATTTTTGGAATTTGTGGTCCAAAGCATGTCAAAAAGGGGTCCAGAGTATTTGTATGGTTATAAAAACTTCTCATTAAGGGTAGAATTGGAAATTTAAGCTAAGTTGTTTCCAAATTTAGAAAAGGGTCATTCTTTTTAGAACAGACCAAAAAAAATAGCTTCACATAAACTGGAACAGAGGGAGTATTCTTTTTACACTCTCTCTTTCATTTCAAATATATGAGGAGCACTTACTTAAAATAATTCCTGTGTTTTACTAGCTTTGTTTTTTATTCATTAATATAGATATTTGTTATAGAAAAATACTTCGTAAACTCCTATACATATTTTTGCTCTTTAAAAAGTACAAATCATGAATTTCATATTGTATTCACATGAATTAGTCTTTATGATATTATTACCAATTTATAATTATTTAAAGGTTACCAATTTATAATGATTTAATATACCTTTAAGAAAATAATTATTCTAAATACATAGTAATAAATGATATGTAATATTTCTTATATACACATATTTGTCACGCATAAAATTTTATTTACTTCATCTAACAAAAGTTCATTTAAATTTTTTATTATTAACTTTTATTTTAAAATAAAAATATCTAAGTATGTAATTATAACTTGTACAACCAAACATGACACTGGGAATTACACTGTAATTACATTAATGCAAACAAACAGGTCTTTGCAATTACTATATTTGTATAATTACTAGGTTGTGCAATTACTACCCTAGTAATCACATAGCCTAGTAACAACACAGTGGTTCCAAACACACCTTAACTGCTCCATCCTGAATGAGAATTGTTCACTAATAGGATTGGAACCTCGCCTGATGTGAAAAATACTCCAAGGGGGCAACCGCACACACCTAACACAGAACGCTGACTACGAAAAGATTGAAATAATTTTTAACAGAATAAGACTTCGAAAATACAGTGGTTCTGGGGGGTCATGCAGTTAACTTATTATTTGAAGTAACCTTATACTTGTGTGCCTTTGAATAGATATTAGACTTCCCATTCCACACATGTGTAATATAATACAGAAAAACCTAAACATCAGTAACAAATTGTTGTTCATATTGTGTAACTATACAGATTATTTTACAGTTAATTAACAGTATTCTCGCCACTATTTTATGGCCTATTGCAGCAATTATACTGGACGGAACCATCTTATGGAGTTCAAAATCATGCAAAATTCAGGTGCTCGTCTTTTACCTCCCAAGTTACGAGAGTTTTCATGCATACAAAAAGGTAAATGCCGAGACACATATATGACTACACAATTGACTCCTGATACCAGAGATGATCAAGGAGCACATCTGTGTAACAGAAGGCGTAGAGACCTGCAATTATAAGGTTCAGGAAATACCAGTTTTCTTTTCCATACTTTTGTGCTTCCCTTCGGAACCTCGTTTTACACCATCATCTTCAGAACTGCTATCACGTCCATTCTCATTTTCTGAAAGACTATCTGATGCCCTGGAAAAAGAATATTGGAAAGAAAAGAAGAAAAAGAACTTCAGCCTCCTAAATTCACTCATACTTAAGAGATGGCAAGTTATCATTAACTTAGGAAATTATGAAAATATTACAACTGTTACCACCCATTATTGAACATATGGCATCTAAAATTCTACAACTTAACAGCATACGGGACACAAGATAGAATTCAGAAAAGCAACCTTTTTGATCTGCGTTTTGATTTCTTATCACGCCTTTTGCGCCTTTTCTCACGTCGCTTCTCCTTTCTTTTAGCACGTCTATGCCTGTCTCTTTTAGATCTCTTCCTCTTCCTCCGCCTATCATCACTGGATGAGCTAATTTCTGATTCAGAAGATACATCCAAGTCAGAATCACTATCAGACTCAGAAGACTCAGTATCACTATCCGTAGAGCTCTCTGATTCTGATGTGTAGTATCTCCTTCTCTTTTTTCTTCTTTCTTTGGAGGATTTTTTGTGCTTCCCATTTTTCAATTTGTTTAGTTTTCTCTTATCTGCACCAAGAAGTAGTAAAATTAAATAAAGCCTCACAACAAACAGCATATTCGATAAACAAAAACTAGAAGGGGAAACAATATGACAGCAAAGAAATGTTTTAAAGCAAGCTGCCAAGAGAAATGAAACTTCAGAAGACTCACAATCAGGTAACTCGCCGCAGTTGATTATCTTCACAGTTACATCGGGTTTTCCCTCTTCATTTCCCACACTCTCAATCTTCTTAAGAACTTCAAGGCCATCAATAAGTATCCCGAAGACAATGCATTTCCTGTTAAGAAAGTTAATGAAGCAGTTCATAAAAGCAAGCTTCCAGCAGAGCAGGAAATATCAACCAGCATCCACAAGCGGCAGTATACTTGTAACTACAATTATAACAAACCTGTCAAGATGATGGTCAGCCTGAAAGGTGATAGAAAATATAGAACCACGTGCATCACGATCAGCAATTGCCATAGATAGTAGACCTTGGGCATCATGTTTTAGCTTTGGCACCTCATCTGAAAAATTCAAAAGATTTCACTTGTTATAAAGCCTGTCTTGTTTTCTCTCAAAAATGTAATTTATCAGTTCAAGATATCCCATCAAAGTAATAAATCTACAGGACATTGCAAATATTGCACCTCCAAAAGGTGATGCTACAATTGACAGACAACTAATTGCATATGAAGAAAGTGCACTATACCATGAATTACAAACTGAGACCAACAAGATAATTGTAATTTGCAAAGTATGCTCTCTCACTAGCCAGTATTTCCAGAAGTAACATAACCTATACTACAACTGCTTGTAAAATTCTGTTTTTGCATAAAATGATAAAAGGGATTCATTACTGAACCTTTCCCAAAGATATTTTCCAAGACAATTACCTAGATCGAGAGAATAGTTTGGGTGTCAATATATAGCGAACATATGATGTCAATATACAGATAACACAAGTATTATTACCCAGCAAATTGCAGCTTTGCCAATCCAAATTTTGGCTCTCATGACAGGTTTTCTAGGTAATGATAACTAATCAGAATTTCTACCACACAGTTGAGTACTGTTCTGAACCGATAACCAATTACCTCAGTTCTGCAGTATAGTTATAATAGAGTTCCCTGGGATTTTTCTGAACAAATGAACCACACAGAACAATCAAAACAAGGCTTAATCTCTAGGAAAGAAAACAAACTTCAATTAAATTTCTAATTCTCGAACTATCATTAAGTAGAAAACCAAAAACAATATCGACAAAAGCACAGGCAACATAGCATTCATGTCCCCTACCATTGTCTGAGAGGAAACAATGTCCAATATCAATGGATTGAAGCTCCCATGCAGCGTAGAATTAGATCAAAGTCAGCCCCAACCTTCACAGGCAATACAAAAGGAAACCCATTTTCTTTCAAGATAAATGATTTTTTGCTAAAAGAAATACACACACTGTTGTTTGTGTGGATTTACTACTCATTATATCTTAGTCTACCAAAAGAATTAGGCCATGCATTCAATACATGAGACAATCATCAAGCGGTCATAAAATTTGAGGCAAATTTCAAAATAAAGGTCGGAATAATGAAAGAGAGGTCTCACCTGGAAACTTTCCTCCATAGATACTTTCCCCATAGTTCCCTGCAAAGAAGTAGGCATATTAACTCCGGAATTTTAACCAAAACATGTTCCTGAGTCTTGGACTGGCATGTTTGACTGAGTCAAGAGATTCTTACTGGGCTAACACGTAAAGCTCAAAATTAAACCCAAAAAGATAAAGCTGACCAACTAGTACTTGGGAAGCAATTAATATAAGTCAAACAAGCACTGGACTATTGCTGATCAATAGTTGATTATAAACAAAACTTAACGCAGTATGTTGATCAAAGGCATACCATCTTGTCTCAGCAAGTCGCCAGCCTGAAATAGATAAGGGAAAAGACAATTAGTTAACTATCATTAAAGTGCATAAACGGAGAGCCTTAATATGCTGAAGCTCATCAATACAGAGGACAAACAACTCAGTTAACACAACCTTAAAACTACATCACAAGATATGCAGTCGTGACCATCAGCCCTGCATCCTACAGCATAAACAAGGATATCTGACTAAAATGAAACACCACTTCTTAGCCGTGCTCAACCACAGAGCTAAGAACTATGCAATGGAACACATTCAAACAACATGTGAATAGAACCTGCATATCCAGAGCCTACAAACATACCTGAGCCACAGATCCCTTGACAATGCGATGGAAAAATGTTCCTTTATAATGCAACGGTTTTCCAGTCTTAGAGCTGACTCCTTTCTCCCCTGAAGAGCAACAATTTCTTCCTATATCAGTTGAGGATACCAAGCACTTAACATGAAGATGGACAAGCATCCAAGAAAAGGAAGAAGATAAAGATTACTTCCCCACTAGATGACTAGTCATGTCACGAAATTATCTATAAGATAAGGAATCAATAACCCAGGCACCTTGAACCAACAGCCAACAGCAACCAGCCAATACCCCAGCAAAGGATAGCACTTGCTAAGGTGACCTGAACCATTTCTTTAAATTTTATTTTCCTCGACAAAAAGTATTACGATTGAGCTGCCAAACTTCCAGGAAGAAAGTGACGAACTAGGGGGTGTCTTATCTACCTGTTCCTGTAATGTGCATTGTGAGTAGTTCTTGATCCATAAATTGTTTGCTACACAGTGTACATTTTCGCTTTATGTGCAGTTGCCAGTTAGTTCACAACATATGTCCTTCCAGTAAGTTCACTATCTATCCTCCTTTTTTGTTTTTCGATAAAGCACAGTACCTATCCTTCTTTTCATGGGTAGTTACCTTAACATGAGCAAGCATCATATATCTTTAGCACAATAAAGAGAGAATTGAGAGACAGCAAGAAAGGTTGAGAGATTTCTCTATGTAGTGGTATGTTACAGTTTGGCACCAAAAAAATATGGCTTTGGATCTTTCAAAAAGAGAGAACTAACAACTACTCAAAGTGAGTCCCTACTATATCTGATTAAGTTTATCATTTATAATTTCCACATTTGGGACAACAATTTGTAACACTAAGCCCCATAGAGTAGCTTTATAGATATAAAATGTGCTTCATGTGATGGAACCACAAGACAATCAAAATACAAATAACGTCTGAATGCAGGTTAAAAGTATGTTAATGGGAAGAATTCACCGGAATAAAGACAGGATAATAGGCCACACAATAGAATGACTAGAAAACCAAACGGAAAAGCTTAAGACTTTAATATGATACACAAGAAGCACTCTTGTATTTGTCACCTGTACAAAGTGCACGAAAGTTTTCTGCGGTTTTTGGAGCAATATCTGTGAAAAGCTGCAAACAAGAGAACTCATGGGAGTTAACCGTAAGTATCTCGTTTTGTGAGTTCAAATGCTTATATTTAGGGATAACAAATTCAGCTATTGGATAGCTTGATACCTCAAAAACCATTCTTTCAACTGGATCTCCATCAATAGAAACATCAAGGAACACCAGTTGTTTCTTCTTACTCATGTTTATGATACTTGTTTCTTCACGACCTCAAGCTGGCAGGTATATCTTCAGCAATGAAAGAGAGGAGTAAGGGTGTGAAGAATGAAGAAGATTGCAATTCTGCTTTGGCTATGACAACGAAAGACACAACTTAAGGAGCCATAAATTGTTTGTAGCAGATAAGTGTGCTTGGATAGCTGCAGCTTTTTCTTTCTTTCTTTTTTAATATTTGTGAGGGGAAGTAGAGTCTCAAATAAAAAACACCCTTGACCAATTCGTCAATGATGAAAAACTAACATGCACTCAATAAAACTCAAAAAACTGAAAAACTTTCGAGCAAACGCCTCCTGAATATCCCTACAGGCTCATTCAATAATTTTAGCAAGTTAGCTCTATTAATTTAAAGGATCTGCAAACAAATCATACCCTGTCATAAATTCCAAAGACAGGGATATCCTACTCACTACCAAAAACCCTACAGTCTCTCACATACCCTAAATTCACTTACCAACAACAAATTAACTACAAAAGACAATTACTACTAAATACAGCACTTTAAAGAAAAAATATAAGCAACACAATTCCATACTCCTAAGGTCAGCTACCAACACCGATAACCAAATAGCTAACACCGCAACCTCACCCCAGTTTTACATTAATCAGCAAGGAAATTAAGAAAATAATGATTAAAAGTAGTGAGAAGAAAAGCAATATTATCTCAAAATTGAGCAGAACGGAAAGATGTGTACCTGAAAACTGGACATCAAGAAGATGAAAGAAGCTTAGAGTGAGATGTAAGGAGGAGAGCGGCGATAAAGCTATGAAGCTTTAGGGTTTCTCTCTCACTTGTCTAAATTTATTTCTCTAATTTCTTGACTATATATGCAGATTTTATAATTATAGGCCCTTCGAGAGGAAAAAAAAAAAAAAAAACAGTTTGGAAGATGCGACAATTCCTGTTAGGGGCATAATTGTCAAGGCAACAAAGTACCCCATGTATGAAGTACACTTCTTTCTTTTCTCTAAGCTAGGAAGTAAATTGTTGATTTTTTAAACTATGGTTTTAATGTAATCACACGTAAGGATGAAAAGAAAAAAAAATTAAATGATTTAAGAAAATAAATTTAAAAATGTACAATATAATAGGCTTGATTAATAGTGAACTATATTCATTTCATGCTACTTATATCTCATGAAGATATTAAAGACATTATATTTGTAGCTAATTCACTGCATGTACATTTTATTATTAGTATTGACATTTTAACTATTAGGTTCTAAGTAGCAATCAATGATCCTTTTCTCTTTTAGTGCACATAGTTATTTTTCACTCATTTCTCTCGTAGCAGAATAGTAGCTAGGTTTTATTACGGATAAATCAAAATTTTCGTATTAGCTCTCTCTAAAAAAGAAAGAAGGTTGGAATATCAACAAGCGTCCATTATTGAATTCACTCGATCTCTAATTCATTATATGTGAACAAAGCGGGTAAGGAAGATTTTTGTAAGCCTACGAGAAGACTTTACTAATTGAACTATAAGAACTTACTTCTTATTGTGGCTTTTTACTACAGGAATGAGAAAGAACTTTTCATCTTTGAAAATATCAACAAATATATAAAGAATATATCAATAATGTATATTAGGTTTGCAATCTATCTACACATACAAATACTTAATCATCACTCCTTTCTCCCCCCTCTTTTTGTTTCTATATTCCTTTTCTCTCTAGTTTATAATATTAAGATTTAAGTTTTAGTAGGTTGTTGTCAATTAATATATTATTTTATTATTGAAAGTAAATATTTTTTAGTGATTTAGTAAAGATAACCAAATTGATATAAGTAATTTTGTCTGTATTTACGATTCTTTATGGTAGTTAATACATGTCTAATTTAAACTTGTTCTTCTCTATATTTATTCTTTTTTAATTTGAAAACCAAACTCTAATTATTCTTGTACATACATTTATGGAATGTTATCTAATTTTTTCAATTCGATTGAAGCAACATTATGATTACATGAAGGTCAAAATTACAAGTCTGTAATTGATTCATATAGTGAACAATTCTGTTATACATTTCACTATTTTTTATTAGAAGAAAATTTTAATTCTTAAATGTTTGTGTCATGTACTCAACAACTTACTTGATATACTGAACAAACAACAATCACAACACCCAATTTATTCTCACAAATGGGGTCACTTGATATTGTCACGATCCCAAATGTCTCGGTCGTGATGGCGCCTATCACAGTACTAGGCAAGTCAACCAAATATTTCTCCCAACGAAATCTTTTATAAAAATCATTTTCTAGTATCGAAAAATTCTCAAATTCGTCATATGAAATAGATGAGTAAAATAGAATATGCGGAAAAACCAGTACAGAATACCAACGCAACCCAACAATCTGGTGTCACAAGTCAAGAGACTCTAAATACAACTCAAACTGACTGAATAATACATCATAAGTCTGAAATAGCAGAATACTAAGATTGGAAGGAGGGAAGCAGGGCTACCAATGTCGTGCAGCTACCTTGCAGTCTCCGGTAAAGCTCTGAGAGTGCTGGAAGCTCTCACTCTGCTGCTCGGTCACCTGAATCTGCACACAAGGTGCAGGAAGTAGCGTGAGTATGCCAACTCAGTAAGTAACTAAAGTAAATAAGGTCTGAGTGTGGCGACGAGCAATTTAAAACCATATAACAGTTTTCAACAGAAATATCAAGTCAAAACCAACAGTGCCATAGTCAGTTATCTCGTAAAACTTCAGTTTCAATTAAAATGCTTTAAAATCATTTATTCAATATTTTTCAACATAGACTCAGTATAGAAGAAGAGTGAAAACAACAAAAATCATAAACAAGCCCCTCGAGCCGGGTATCACTCATAAATATAGCCTCTCGGGCAAACCTCTCAGTCACTCGTGACTCAGCTCTCGTCAACAGTACTCCCACTCAGCACTCTGCTCAATAATATCTCATACTAATAATAATCATAATAACCGCTGCGGCGTGCAGCCCGATCCATAGTTTATAGTCGACTACGCTCACTAGGGGTGTACAGACTCCGAAGGGGGTCCTACAGTCCAAGCGTCATATCGCTGCGGCGCAGCCCGATCCAATATATATATATCGCTGCAGCGTGCAACCCGATCCATATAAGTATCGTTGCGGCGTGCAGCCCGATCTATAATATATATATAATCCTCACCATTAGGTCCTCAACCTCTCTTAGTCATTAACCTCACAGCCACTCGGGCATATCAGTGGAAATCAGGGAACTCAGCCCAAACAGTTTTTATATATTAAGAGGTAGAGTGATGAAACCGGATTTAAACAATAAACAGGTAAAATATGATAGATGATATGCTTTCAAAATAAATAGAGTGAGTAAAGTAGTAAAAATACCCCTAAGGATCTAAACTGATCGGCACAAGGCCCCAAACATGGCGTACAATCCAAAATATAGTATCAATTTCTAAAATACGGGATATCATAAGATTTCAAATCAAATACGCAGCTTAATAGCCTTTACAGGATAGACCAAGTCACAAATCCCTACCGGTGCACGCCCACACGCTCATCACCTAGCATGTGTGTCACCTCATTTATCAAAACAATACGAAATGTCGGAGTTTCATACCCTCAGGTCCATATTTATAATGGTTACTTACCTCAAACCGGGTGAAATACTACTATGAGATGCCCTTGACTCTCGCCTCGGCCTCAACTCGCCTCGAATCTTTCCAAAATTAGAATTGCAACATCAATATTTGCTAAGGGAATGAAGCCCATACGAAAATAATCAAATTATACCAAAAATCCTGAAATTGGTCCAACTCGACCCCCGGGCCCACGTCTCAAAATTCGAAGTCACATCAATGAAATTCTTATCCTCCCACGACTTCATACATACCAAGAATACTAAAATCCGACCACAAATGACCCTTCAAATCCCTAGATTAAGATCTCCAATTTCCAAGTCTTAACTCCCCAAATTTTTGGCTTCAAATCCCCCAAATTTCAAGTTTAATTAGGTAGAAATCACAATAGGATCGAGTATTAAGTCCATAAATCTTACCTCCAAGTGTTTCCCTTTGATTCCCTCTTCAATCTCCCTCAAGAAGCTCCAAAACCGAGTCAAAAATGGTGAACTTTTCCCAAAAATCGCAAAAATGACCTTTTAAACATTTTGCCTAACGATTTGAAATTCCTTCATCGTGATCGCGGGAACAACTTCATGATCGTGAAGCATAACAGTGGACTACCCCTCAATTTACCTTACGCGATCGCGTAAAACACCTCGTGTTTGCGATCCTGCCTCACGCGGTCGCATAGAGCAATCACCTCCACTACACACCAGCTTGCCTTCTTCTACTCGAACGCGACCCTGGCCACGCGTTCGCGAAGCACAACCTCTCACACATACTCAATCGCGACCTCCTATCTGCGAACGCATAGAAGAACTTCACATCTGCCCCAAATTAGCTACGCGATCGTGAAGAGCAAAACGTCTGCAACAAAATACTAGCAAAAACTGCTAACACCTCAAGTCCAAAAATGTCCCGTTGGTCATCTGAAACACACCCGAGGCCCTCGGGACCTCAATCAAAAATGCTAACATATCCCATAACATCATTCAAACCTGTTTCAATTTTCGGAACGCTCAAAACAACATCAAAACATCAAATTAACATCGGATTCAAGCCTAAGAATTTAAAAAACTTCCAAATTTCGCTTTCGATCAAAAAGTCTATCAAACCTCATTCGAATGACCTAAAATTTTGCACACACGTCACAAATGACACAATGCACCTACTCCAACTTCCGAAATTCCATTC